CCTGGTATGGGAGGGGAGACCTTCGCCGGAGAGGGCTTGTTTGCAGCTGGTGATGAGAGGCCAGGGCTGAGTGGGGTGGACTGAGAAGAGAACCTGTGACCCTGGTGAGGAAGGCGCTGGTGTTATGAAGGAAGGGGCCTCACAGCTGTTGGGAGGAGATAGAGGAAGGGATAAGCAGAGAGCAAGTGGGAAAGACCTCAGGGTCCCGAGGTCGCCATTCACCCTGGGGGGAACCGCAGTCAAGACCCTTCCTGTCTCAGGGGCTCAAGCCTCCACTGTTTGCACTCAGAGTGGCTCCATTGCTGAGGATGGACGCGCACTGACCCGGCTCTCAGACGCCTGCGTTCAGACTCCCAGGGGATACCCAGGCTCACCGCGTCTTGCACGCTCTTGCGGGGAGGGGCCACACTGGAAGTCCAAACATTAGAGGCTCACAAAGGGGGATTCAGGTGGATTTGGGAGGTTTTGCTCAGTGATGCTGCTTTGAGGCCCCTCATCTACCTGACTGGGGGCAGGTAAACGAGCTTCCTGGGGAGATCACAGACCTGGAGTCAGCTTGGTAGGCTCCCTGGACAGTGCTCTGGTGGGCGCTGCACGCTTGTGCTTCCATGGCTCTCCTTCCTTTTCCTTTGCACTCCCTTCCTTTGACAGTCATTTCCCTATGAGGGAAAAAGACAGCTGACTAAGCTTCTGTTTTCTTTTTTTTCCTTTTCTTTCAATTTTTTTTTTTGAGTCAGGGTCCCATTCTGTCACTCAGGCCAGAGTGCAGTTGGCACTATCATGGCTCAACTCAGCCTCCACCTCCTGGGTTCAGGCAATCCTTCCACCTCAGCCTTCTGAATAGCTGGGACTACAGGCACATACCACCATGCCCTGCTGATTTTTTGATTTTTCGTAGAGTCGAGGTCTTGCTGTGCTGCCCAGGCTGTTCTTGAACTCCTGGGTTCAGGCGATCCTTCTGCCTCAGCCTCCTGAGTAGCTGGGACTACAGGCCCACGCCACCACACCCTGGTAATTTTTTGTAAAGACAAGATCTCACTATGTGGCCTAGGCTAGTCTTGAACTCCTCGACTCAAGCAATCCTCTTGCCTTGGCCTCCCAAAATGCTAGGATTACAGACGTGAGCCACCACAACCAGCCCAGGCTTCTGTTTTCTCCAGCATGGCTAGCCTTACCCCGTTGACTCCACCCACCCCAAATAAAGCGTTTGGACCTGAAGTCACAGCTTTAGAGTCATGTGACTTCAGAGGGCCTGGGGAAGGGGGTGGGCCATCTTGCTTTCTAGTTTCTGCCTCTGCCTTCTCCTGACCACGGGCTTGCCCTGGAAAGGGCTAACGAGCAGGTGAGCGAGGCAGCGTGTCTCAAAAGTGGCAGGCGTGATTGTCAGTTGTGAGGAGGAGCAGGGAGGAGGCAGAGTCTGACTTCCTTCTCCCAGTGGGAGCTGCAGATGACAGCCTGTGGGCAGGCTACCTGGGGGCATCTCCTGGGGTCTTTCTCAGTGGTATCCAAAGAGGAGCGAGATCGGGCCGTCAGGCAGTGGAGACGCTGGCGGCGGTGCCTTTCTGGGACCATGGCTGGGCAACCAGCCGGACCAGAGAGGCAGCCCGTGGTCTCCAGCCGGGGAGAAGCAGGGATGGACTGCAGGGGTGAAGTGGAGGGAGAGTCTGGGGTGGGATGGAGCAGAGGCCACAGCAGAATTTCCTAGGACTTCAAGCACAGAGGGTGGCACCTGCAATGAGCGGGTCCTGCGGCTTGAGCTTTATGGGGCCACGGGCGAGCGTGGAGTCCAGGAATCCGTCTGGGTTTGGTAGACTTCTCGAAGCCTCGCTGTTCTTATCTGGGACCCGTGGCTGCCTGTTTGCCAAGAATGAGACAGAATTGGGCCACTTTCATTATTTTCAGGCTTCTTGTAGATTAAAAAGACAGTGAACAGGCTTACAAATATCGTGTTACATGTTTCACATAAGCAGAAAGGTAGGAACGACAGACCCTGCTGAAGGAGGAAGTGTGGGAGGGAGATGGACACACCCACACACTGGGTACTAGATCCATGGCTGGGGGAGAGGGGGCCTGCTAGAAACCCACACCTCACCTGCAGGCAGTTCACTTATGTACTAAGACCTCACAAGGACCCCACAACTCTAAAATTTAGAAAAGCCCCCAAAGCAAAGAAACTCAAATATTGTGTTAAATATTTCAGTGCTTTACATCTAACCATTGTGTTTTAAACACCTGAACCTCAATGCAGCCAGTTTAGATAAGATGATTTTCAGAAAGGTGAGCTTTGGGCCAAATGGCTCCCACCTCATCCCCGGTCCTCCTGGCCCCAGGGGCAACCCCTGTCCCGGGAAGGTGGCAAGAGCACAGAGAAGCTGGCGTGTGGGACATCTATCTCCCTCTGGGGGCTCATGTGGGCAGCACAGCACCCCTGTGGCCTCAGCTCTGCTCCCGCCTGCAGAGAAGGCTCAGCCGGGGCCTGGAATGCTCTCCCCACGCCAACACTTTTGTTTGACTTTCAATCATCCTCAGACCTGGCCTCAGTCCACATCTCTTCAGGCTGCTCCTGCCCAGGCAGGGGGCTTCGTATTGTACCACTGATTTCTTTGGGTGTCTCTCTCATAGACTGCGGCTCCCTGGGGACAGACACAGGGCACCTCTCATTTTGGCATCTTGGGTGCCCAAGTCACGGAAGGCCCCATCACATAGGCATGAACGAATGATTCCACCAGTGGAATGAATGATTCCATCGATGGAATGAATGATTCCATCAGTGGAGTGAATGAGTCCAGCGATGGAATGAACGAATGATCCCATCTTTGGAATGAATGAATGATCCCATCAGTGAGGTCCTCACCGGTCACCCTGCTCTGTTCCTCCTCTTCCTCTTGAGTCTCATACCAGCCCCCTTCCCAGCACACGCCCCGGCCGTTTTCTCCACCCCCTGGCTGACCTAGGGTTCCTCATCCCTTTGCTGCCCCTGTGGCTCTCCCTGTGTCTGCTGTGGAAGAGACGGAGAGGAGGCGTGAGCTGCCACCGGGGTTTGAAGGTTCTGCTCTGCTCTGCGACCAGGCCCAGCTCCCGGGGCTCCGCCAGCTGATGAGTGGAGAGGCTTTCGGAGGGGCCGGCAGCCCTCCCAACTGGGGCGCTCTGGAGCCACAGAGGAGCTGCGAGGCTGGAAGGACCTTGCAGGACCAGGCTGACTCGCCCCCGGGCCTCCCACCGGGCCTGGGTGCTCGTGAGGCTCAGGCAGGAGGAGGGTGGCCGAGGAAGTCTCCGTGGCCATCGCATCCACCCAACAGGCGTCCGTTGTGATCTGTCCTCCTGGCACGGCCACACCCGACATCCCCAGACTCACCTCTGGGCCTCCGCTCATGGTGTTCCTGTTGGCTGCTATGCCCTTCCACCTTCTCTCACTGTGAACTGCCCATTCTCCAAGACCAGCCTAAATGTCACCTCTGAGGTGACATCCCTACTCTTCCGCTGCGTCACTGCTGGCAGTGATCTTTACAAGAGCATTTATCGTGTTGTAACTGTTCGCTTACATATCTGTCTCTCCCACTGAATTGCTGGTGGACAGTGCCTGTGTCCTGTCTCTCTGAATCCTGGCACACGGTGGAGGCCCAGTTAGTGCCAGAGGGTGGTTTGTACCTTCCGATGTGGCACGAAGATGAGAGACAAAGATGTGGGTGCTTGCACAAGCACACACACGGATGTACACAAGCACAAACACGCAACCACACAGGCATACTCATGAGCGTACATAAGGACACACATGCATGCTCACACAGTCACACACACGGCTGCACACAAAGCACAAACACGCATGCACATACGTGGGTACACACAAACACAAACACGTGCACACAAGGACACACATGTGCACACAGGCTCACACTCACCGTCCCAGAGGCACACACATGGGTGCACACAATCACACACACACATGCATGCATGCTTGTGCACGCATTCACACAAGCGTGCACACAAGAACACACACACACACACACACACACACACAGAGACACACATATACACACACACAAGCAGAGCCCTCCTCCCCGCCCCTCCTCTCTGCCCCCCCTCCCCTGTCACTCAACTCTTGCCAGTGCTTCTCATGCTAATGAGAGGAAGCGTTTGGGCAGGGAGAAGCCTGGAAAGGAAGCCTTTGAAATGGAAATGTTGTGACAAAATGATGGATTGTTTTCCCGAGCTGTGCAGTTTGTTTCTTCCTGCAGCAGAAGGGCGACTGTAACCGAGACAGGCGTGGCAGGGGCTGCCCCGTCAGCAAGCCCCAGACGGCAAGGAGTGCGGGCAAACTCCGCCTGGAAGTGGGCGAGGGGGGCGTCAGGGCAGGCAGGGGGACAGGCCTGGTGGTCGTCCCCCCGCCCTGGCCACGCCGGGGCCCTGACTGGCCAGAGCAGCTGCCTGGAGGAGGTGGGGCTGGGAGGCGGAGGGACACCTGGTCTGCCCTTCTGCCAGGGCAGCCACACCCAACACCCCGCAGGGCTCACCTCGGAGCCACTGCTCGCACGGTTCCTTTGCCTGTGGCGCCTCTCTCTACCTTGTCTAGCCTGTGAACTGCTCCTCCTCCTTCAAGGCCAGCCGTCACCTCCTCTGATAGGACCCCTCTGCACAGGAGGCCCCTTCACCAAAGGCCCTCACATTTCAAGAGTCCTCATGGGCTGACTCCTGGCCCCTGGGTTCACGTGGGGGCTAATTAGAACTAATAAGACTGCCTGTCTGATATTACTATATGACCTACCGTGGGC